AGATGCATAAGTGTTGGATTTTTCCTTCTCCTTTGATGCTTGTGCAGTGATTGAGAACACAGCTTGATCAAACAACCTAGGTCTGGTAACTTGAGGTCGGTTTTCTGATGAACAGGCTTCAGAAAGAGGTTGAAATCTCTCCCAGTCTGAGAAGTCGTGCTCCACCGCGGGTGAGGAGCTCGGAGCCGCGGTGGAAGTGACTCTGGCCACGGGTGAGGAGCTCGCAGCCGCGGTCAGCTTCCTCCGGCTCTCCATGCTTGCTTCTTCAATCTCTTCTTCTCCATTGTTGTTCTCTTGCTCCCAGTGGTTGTCTGGCACATCTTGAGTATCCAAATCATTGATTCCAGAGTTCAAATCATACTCCTTATAATCTTTAGAAAATTTTTCAATTTTCTCTTCTACTTCATCCAAAGCATAGACAACTTTGTCTAAAGTATCATCACGCTCTTCTGTCTTGTTTTCAACCTTGGCTACGCCTTGCCACAGCTCCAATGTGTAGTCATAGGTCTGGTTTTTGCTCTTATTCAGCTCCTTATCCAAGCCATCGATCTAAAAGGTTAGGGTTTGCAGCTCCCTTTCGTTTTGCCGGATGCTGAACTTGGTTTTGTCTTGTTCTTCCCTGACAGACTCTATTCTCTGATCCAACACGTCATTAGCATTGGTTCTCTGATCCTCCAGTGTCTTCACATGCTCAGAGAGTTCATCAAACCTTTTGTTAAGGCCGATGATCACATCATCTATCCTTGTTCGCAGGACAGCATTCGATGAGGGCTTGGGAGGCAAGGAACTGATTAAGCTTGGCTTCCAATAGATTAATCAGGATGTTAAGTCGATTTTTCTCATAGTTCTGGTGCAGAATCTGATGAGGAAGAGGATGAGATGGTTGACGGTTCACCAGGTGTGGCGAATAGGGCTCATCTCGGTGATGTGAAGGTCACGAGTCTCCATGGTGGTGGTTCAGATTAGGGTTCCAAAGATGATGATCAAAATCACGCCTGGAGGGTGATTCACATGCGCAGGGAGCTTCACACAGGTCGCAGGACCTTTGCTCGGTATTAGGGTTTCTTCTTGGATGATCCATGCTTCAAAAGTTTCTGAAACTAGGGCAAACAGAAGAAAGAATGAGCAGAAAAAGAAAAACTTAGGGTGTTTATGAATTTAGTTTACTTCCTATGTTGCTTTGGCAGAAACTCGACATATATATAGTCATCTGCGGCTTCAACCTCCCAGGTTTAGACCTCCAGCGACTTCATGCCTCCCTGGAAACGGCACCAAAAACTTGATGGGTTTGCGGGCCTAGGGTTGTTTTTACAAGCCCGTTGGTCCTCCAAAAGTTTTAAATTTATAAAACTCTAGTGTCTGCAAGTGCACAGATGTACGTTGTAGGACTTAGAGTGTCGATCCACAGGGAGGATGTCTAATCTGCGCGAAACAACAAACTGGGAAATAAGCAAACTCATAAACCAATAAAAGTTTTGGGGTTTTTGGTTAAGATCTTAAACTAAACCTAATCTAATATTCACAAGAAATGCAATGCAGGATGAATTGTTAAAAGAACATCTAAAGCATATTGACTAAAACTAAAACTCTTAAACTCATAGGTGGCGATTTAGACTTCTCCGGTTCACTCTAATCGATGTATGATGGCATTTCCAATTAGCTTCCGGACGATTTATCTTCATCTGTTTCTGGAAATCTGCATTGAACTAGAATAGACATATCTATGATTAACCAACTGTCGTCACCTTAATCAACTAATCTTTTAGATCTAGCAATTAACTCTCGCTCTCATGCTAAACTTAAGATCATGCATTGGACATTGAATTCGTCTGCTCACATCTTCTCTATAGGTAGCGATTGACTCCTATAGCAACTATGTTCTTCTGAAGCTAGGTATGGATGATCTGATACAGCACTCTTGTGGCTCTGATAATCCTAGGCTCAGAGAATAGGTCATGAATCTACTCTCATGCTTTACGAACAACTTAGAAGAGGTGAGATTCAGAATATGGGTAAGAACAATAGAAATCCTAATCAATATTTATGCTTGTCGATATATTTAAGGAACTTGACTCTCTGGGACTAATCTACATAATGCAATTAATGATGAAAGACATAGAAGAATGCAAAAGAATGAAACAGAAAAGTTAATAAGATAAAAAGGAGAAAGAACAATGGATCTGGGAAAGAATCCCCATCTCCATTGCCTAACCCTAGAAAAACAGAGTTTGGTGGCTCAAAATCTCATTACAGGAACACACACCCGTTTTGGGGCTGCTAAACAATGTATTTATAGGTCCTAAAGTCTTTCAGGTCTCATTTAGGGCTTCTCTAAAGAGGAATGGTGAAGTGGGCTTTGATGTTGGGCTTTGTGGCTCGTCCTAAGGTCCACCGGGGGTGAGAGTCTTCCAGGGCAGGTAAAATATGCTTTTGCCGCAGGTGAGAGTCTTTCGAGACTGGTGAACTGGGTCAACTTATTCTCTATGTATCTTTTGATTGCACCGTTGGATCTTTGTGGTGTAAAGTGCTATGGAAAGCTGCTTGTCTCCTCTTGATTGTCTCCAAATTTGAGCTGGATCAGACGGTGAGAAAGTCTTCATTTGAGGCTGAAATTCTGACGGTCTGACTCTGAGCTAAAAATGTGGATTTCTTCCATTTTGCCATCATATTCCCCAATTTTCCTGAAAAGAGCCTTGAAACTACAAATACATGGAAATCATAATAAAAATTTCTAAAACAAAGTAAAACCTTTGAAAAAGCATTTGAAATCAATGGTGAAAAGTGGTAAAAATCAGGTGTTATCAGCAAGTATGTTCCACATCGCATCCCTTCTCTAGAAGACTTCTGCAGATCAAGCGTGGGATTGCGGTCGAGAAAAAAAAAGCCGAGTGGTGAACGCATGTTTAGGATTCTAGCTTTGTTCATAAAACATTTCCATGTACATATTTTTACATCGCGCATTGTTAATAACATCTCCAGTTCCTTATTTTTGATTTAAATCACTCAGCGAAATATAAACTTCAGCTTTCTTAAAAGTTTCTAAATTGTCGATAATTAGTTTTAGTAGTTTATGATAGTCGATAATTAGTCCTAGTCCTTACGTGCCTCAAGATCTTAACACCCTCATCCGCCTTTGTAATCGTTTATACAATCCAAATACTTCCTCGTACATGGCCCATGCAAGACTTGAGTGTAATATGACATGGCTGTACTATGTGGAAGCTTCTCTTGGTCTTGGTCTCGTGGAACTAATTGGCATACTGCATCAAGGTTTCATAGTGGTGGACGAAAGTGGTTCCTCTTATTTCAGGCTCTTTTAGTTTATCATGATAACATGTTATCATGCTCACGCTTTTCTGTTTTATGATTGCCTTTCGTTCTGATATCATGCCTATGTTTTTTCCTTTGTATGACGAATAAGAATTTTAGAGCTGGTTTTTAGTGGGGGTTTTTAGCCATGTGTCAATGTCTAATTCATCGGTTTTTATTTTATTTTTAACTTTAACTTCTTCTTAACTTTAACTTGAAATTCAACTTCACAGAAATTGTTTCAAAATTTTCTTGTACATTTCAAATTTCATTCGATGCAATTTTTATATTTTTTATTAAGAACCTTATCAGAGGTTCTACCATTAGAGGAGAACAAATAAATTAATAAAGTTATGGTGTTCTTAGATAAAATTTATAATATAAATTGGCTAAGAACCACATTGGTTAATAAACTCTATATATATTGTTAAACATATATATATATATATATATATCATGGGAAAAACCATATCTTCACTCTCGTGAAAGACGATTGCCAAACACAATAGTTTCTAGGCATCTCTTCTGTTTGTTTCCTTTCAGCCGGCATCGACTCCGACGTCGGCTGTATTTCTTTTCTTTGGTTTGGTTAGAAGATAATTTAATCCAATAAATTCCTATCAGATATGGTGATATCCTTCGATTGGTACAGAGATCCAAGTTTTAGATTGGGTTAATTTCTATTCTTCTTCATGCGATCACCAGTAAACTCTGATAAAGTTAATTTCTCTTTCGTGAATATCTGAAATTTTAATTTGTTGATATTATGGTGGTTTTAACATGTGGTGATTGTAAATGTATACACACCACATATACAATTTCACCGATGTGTGGCCTGGGTTCCCTTTCGTACATGGGGATGGAATTGCAAAATCAGAAAGAGATCAACATATTGTGCCCAATGCAATTCGCTTATAGCAATTTCTTTGGTAAGTGTAACCGTTTTCTTTTTTTCCCTATTCTAGTGATGGTTCAGTGGAACTTTGATATCTCTCTTAGTATAGTATTTGTTTTTGGTGAGTTTTTTCTCTGCTGGTGGAAAGTCCGGTTGATAACCAGTGATTGTCCTCTTACTTAATGGTATAGAGGTTTCACTTGGATTTTTGATTCTGGAATCACTGGAAAAAAATCAATTTCTTAGAAGAAGGAAGAAAGTTTTTGTTATATCAAATCAAAAGAACAATAAAATCAAAATATCTTAATAAGACTCTGATACAGAAGTATTGGTATTAGATTGTCGAAGTTTCAGAACTCTTATTGGAAGTATAGGGTTTTGTCATGGGGTGTGTAATTCAAAGATTTAACCAAAAGATGTTACCGACACACATTTTGCATCAGATTAAGATCAAATACGAAGAAAAAAATAATGGATTTTATGATTCGTTAGCGAATAAGATTTATCTACGGAAAGCATAATCACATTACTTATTTTGTTGTATTTTTTTACTATATAATATATATATGATATATCTGTTTATGTAATAATTTGTTTTCTTAAAATTTTGTTTGATTTTTATAATTCCAGTTTGAAATCAATGTTTGCTGTAAAAAAAAAGAAAATCATAAAAAAAAATCAAGGGAAAAAGTAGTGTCAGTGGGCTTTAATAAATAAGCCCATATAATTTGTCAGGATATTGATTTTTCGCATATTATTAATGTAATTGTAATTGCCAAATACAATTTAATTACATTCCTTATTTCTCTCCATTGCGCATCGTCAAAAATCCCCAATTTCCTTCTCTTCCTCCGATTCAAAATCCCTTCGCAAAATTCCCCCAAATCCCAAAACACAATCTTGATCTTCTGTAAATCAGAGAAGCCATGGATAACAGCAGCAGCATCAACTCCACCGCATCTACCACCTCCAACATTAGCACGGCTTCCCTCGAAAAGATCGATCAGGCGGCGAGCTGGGTCAGCACCACCGTAATCTCCGCCTTCTTCGCCTCCCTCGAGCGTTGCTCCTGCGTTAATCTTTCTACATCCGATGATGACGACGACAACGAAGAATCCCACAACCGTCCCCTTGCTCTCTCCGCCGCTCCTCAACCAGACGACATCGTTTAAGCTTCTCTGACTCCTCCGGTAATCCTCCCTCGGTTTCGCGTTTTTTTTTGGGTTCTTCTTCTCCTAAATCGGTGGTGTGGAGCTTGTAGTTTCCTGGTCTAGGAATAGATCTGCGATGTTTGATGCTCAGAACTTATTGATTGTATATCCCAGATTCGATGTTTGATTTCACCCAAATGTGATTATACTACGTACATTTGAACGAATATGGTTGTTCTTTGTTCGTGATTTGTGATGTTTATTTATATATATATCCCTGGTTTTGGAATTTGGATTTTGTGATCGATTTGTAGATTTTTTTTTTCTTTTAGCTTGCGCTCTGCAAACAAACTGAGAATTTCTAATTTTGTAAATTTTCTAATGTGTTCATCTACAATCTTATGTTAAGGTATATGCTCATTTGTTGTTGAGAACAAGAGAGGGCAAGACTCAATTTTTGTTAAAGAATTCTTTTTGTGGGAATCAATCTCTTGTGTGTAATTTAATCATATATGATCTTTAAGTTTTTGAGCTGTTTATGCCTGTGTGATCTAATCAAAATCTGGTTTCATCTTTCTCGTATTAAGTTTGTAAGAAATGGAGTATATAGATATTACTAATTACATGTCTTGTTTAATTGGCAGTTGACATTTGTTTCGTAGCTTACTTTTTGCAAATTTTCTAATGTGTTCATCTACAATCTCATGTTAAGGTATATGCTCATTTGTTGTTGAGAACCAGAGAGGGCAAGACTCAATTTTTGTTAAAGAATTCTCTTTGTGGGAATCAATCTCTTGTGTGTGATTTAATCATATATGATCTTTAAGTTTATGAGCGTTTATGCCTGTGTGATCTAATCAAAATCTGGTTTCATCTTTCTCGTATTAAGTTTGTAAGAAATGGAGTATATAGATATTACTAATTACATGTCTTGTTTAATTGGCAGTTGACATTCGTTTCGTAGCTTACTTTTTGCAAATTTTCTAATGTGTTCATCTACAATCTTATGTTAAGGTATATGCTCATTTGTTGTTGAGAACCAGAGAGGGCAAGACTCAATTTTTGTTAAAGAATTCTCTTTGTGGGAATCAATCTCTTGTGTGTGATTTAATCATATATGATCTTTAAGTTTATGAGCGTTTATGCCTGTGTGATCTAATCATAATCTGGTTATATCTTTCTCGTATTAAGTTTGTAAGAAATGGAGTATATAGATATTACTAATTACATGTCTTGTGTAATTGGAAGTTGACATTTGTTTCGTAGCTTACTTTTGGTGTTTTCTCTAAAGTTTATCACAATCCTTACATTTGGATCTGACTTTTAACTTTAGATATAAAAGAATGCAGTTTTTTATTATCCAATTCATTGTTTCGAGAAGCCTTTCTTATTAAAGAAAAAAAAATTATTGCTTTATAGGTCGATCGGTTTATATAAATAGAGTTGTACTTGGTAGTCCAATGATGAGTTGCAATGAGGTTTATACTCATCGTTCCAATTGCTAAAGCAATTTGAAAAAGTTGCTATGTTGAAAGCACTGTTTAATGACTCTGAGGACCAAAATTGGATTTTCTTCTAGCCTTGGCTCTTTAGTTGCAATCATTGTCCTTTGTTTTAGTGAAGCTGGTAATCATCTGTTTTAGTGTTTATGTGTGTTTGTGTTTTGTGTTGATGTATGTTCGTGTCACCTTAACCATGATCGTTCTCGATCTCTTTTCTTGAGATATAAGGTTGTGTCCAAAAATTGGCATTACGGGTTTCAATAAAACCTGGTAAAGTGGTGCTTGATAATTTTTTGTTTTCTCCTTTCTTGGGCACTATACAAAGTACAAGCATGTGCTTCGCATTTTGAGAAAAAGCACCCAATAATTTATTCATTCTTCTTCCTTTATTGATTTACTTTACTTTGATTGCTCAAAAATATCTCTTCTTTGATCGGCATAAATATGAATAAGAAAGATGTTGAGAAGTTTCTTGACGGTATGTATGTGAGCGAGAAGGGCAACACCGAAGAGGAATGGGTCTTTTGAAATATGCTGTATGTCTATGATTATCGCGTAGTTCCAGTGTCATCCTTTTTGTTATCCTAAAATCTACATAATAAGATTGTGATGAAGCAGTTTTAGACATGTAAAAGCTGCGTTTTTAGCATCAACAATAAGACTTCGAATGGTTATCATGAGTAGCTGAGCAAATGAAACATAACAAAACAAAACTAACAACCATCTTCAACTTTTTTTTACTGGAAGCTATTTTGGTTCTCCCAAAAATACATAAACTATTAACTATTTTTTTTTTAATACTCAAACTATTAATCAATTCCTCTTCAATACTTATAATGTTATATTTAGTATAGTTTACAAATTTATATTATACAGTATAGTTTTCCCCTTCTCTATTTATCAAAATTGATTTGTTTATCAGAGAAACAGAATTTATAATTTATATTAAAAAACAGATATTTTTTCTTCTTTTGTCCACGAACCCCTCTCTCTCTCTCCCTCTCCAAATGAAGAAATTCTGTGTCAGATGAATTTATGTTCTTCCTTCAGTTAAACCAGAAATTTCTACATACATCTCAATGTATAATAAAGGAGAGAGATTCGATGTTGACAAGTAAAAGAGGCTTCTTCGTTACACGTACAATAAACTCAAACTGTTTTTAAAATCGATCCAAGCAGTGAGCGATTGTGAAGAAAGCTATGAGATTAATCGCCACTCGCGCATCCTTGACAACCGCAGTGAACGCATTCAACCGCTTTCTCTTCACGCAGGTTCTTGGGAACACGACATACACATGTTGTTCCATAGTTGTGATCTCTTGGCTGTATGCAGCGCAAGCAGCATAAACGTTCATATCCTGACTGCAATTCCACAAAACAGAAGAGTTTATACAGAGTTAGTAACAAATAGATATATCTGACAAACAAACACAAATTCACAAAAGTAAAATACTAGATCAATCTATCCGGATAATGGAACCTACACACATATATTATCCATCTGAACTGCAAGCAAGGACTTTGTTAATATGAGATTCAAGAGAAACAATCATCAACATGTTTGGGGGAGTGTTCAGGATTTGGCAAAGCTTGGTTGAATTTGGTCTATAACTAATAAAATCAAAACAAAGTGGCAGTTTCAACAAACAGAAGATTAACATCTCACTTTTTTCTTGTTCCAGACATTTTGTTTCCCTACCAAACAAAACAACGCAATCTCAGTTCTAACACCCATCTTTTAGTAAGATCATACCAAGCAAGCGCAATTTTACATATTTTCAGAGAAACAGCTGCAAAACCCATTGTCCTATGAACTAATTCAGCACAATTTTACGAATCCTCAGCTCAATGTCCTATGCAAAACTACTATTAGAAACTCCAAATCACTACAATTTGGCCTCAAACCACTAGCTACAAGACAATAATAAAGTCTAACCGAGAATGAAATAAAAAACGTTACCTTTTTCCATTTAGCAATCAGGTTACGATCTGCATAGCCTTGATCCAAGCAGAACTCATAAAGCTCTTTAGATATTTCTTCCCTTCGGTAGTAAAGGTCATATACATATCTACTCCTCTGATGAGAGACTTTGAAGATTGGCCATAAGGTTTCACACTTTCTCTTGCCATCATGTGAATCCATCTCAGCTGCACAATGAGCACAAACAAAAGGTTAAAGAAACAAACTTTAGGGATCTGAAGATTTGATATCATAACAAAAAACAAGATCGAGAAACTAACCTTCTCTCATCTGGGCATCTAGCTCTCGAAGAGTAGGCTCGATCAACTCCCACCCTTCTGGGTACTTGACTCGGTTCGTCTTAACCTTTGGCATATTCTTCTACAGACAAGAAAAGGAACAAGTTAGAGACTTTAATGGATTCTTTAAAGACACCCTTAGCATTCGAAAGCTGGGCCAGTTCCCTGATTTAGGGTTTATACCGAACTTAAAAAAAAAAAGAGGAAAATTTACATTTTTTTGTTAAAAGGAAATTTACATATACAAACGATTACACCAGAGGGATGCGAAATCGCGATTGATCTAAGATGAAAAAGTCGAAGAAGCTTACCTGAGAGAAATTAAGCGACGACAAGATAAGCGAGTTTTGAGGGAGAGAGGGATCGGAGCTCAGGTGGAGAACGAAGAACAAGGTTTAACTAGCGTTTTCACTTGGGCCGGAATAAACACCAAAAGCCCAAAATTGACCCAAGAATTAAAACTTTTAATCCGAGCTATATACCAAACCGGTCATTCTACATTTTCAATTTGTGATCTGAAGCTATATACCAAACCGGTCCTTTTACATTTTTAATTTGTGATTTGAAACTATATACCAAACAGGTCTTTCTAAATTTTCAATTTGTGAAGCTATATACCAAACCAGTCCTTCTATATTTTCAATTTGTGAAGTTTATATACCAAACAAGTCCTTCTATATTTTCAATTTGTAAAGTTATATACCAAACCGGTTATCCTACATTTTCCATTTGTGATATACTTCTCCATTTTAAATTTGTGATCTGAAACTATATACTAAACCGGTTCTTCTATATTTTTAATTTGTGATCTGAAGCTATATACCAAACCGGTTCTTCTACATTTTCAATTTGGGAAGTTATATACCAAACCAGTCCTACATTTTCAATTTGTGATGCTATATACCAAATCGGTTGTCCTACATTTTCAGTTTGTGATATGCTTCTACATTTTTAATTTGTGATATGAAGAAATCTACTAAACCGGTCTTTCTACATTTTCCAATTTGTGATATGAAGCAATATACCAAACCGGTCCTTGGTACATTTTCAATTTGTGATCTGAACCGGCCGTTCTTCTCTTCCCCCGCCTTTTCTGAAAGGAAGAAGAAAAGTAGGTTCCTTTCAATTTAAGGGTTTCGACAGATAAAAAAAAAGTTTCGATTTTTCTCTTTTTGTTTATACTAGAAGTAATCAAGTATGGGGTCTGTTTCAGAGTGAAAAGCTAATGATGATGGAAGATTGTGAAGCGAAATCTCTTATAAAAACAATGGCTTTGAAAACGTCTAGTACAAAGCCATTAATTGAGACAAAACCTAAAGCCATATATAAACTCCGAGAACGTTGTGTCCGTTTGCTTAAGGATCACTCTTGGACTCTTCTTACTGAACTCATAGACAAAGCCTGGTTCCGACCGATTCCGCCCAAAAATTTGCAAGATTTCGGATGAGAAGTGTTTGGTGTTGTTCGATTCACCACCTGACATCATTCAGATGGAGAGAAAGCATTTGAGGCCACACCTTTACTGGTTCAATGAGAAATGGTGGGTATTACCAAGAGGACTTTTGAAAATCAAGAGTCGTAACTCAGGAATTAACACAGAATACAATACAGGGATTTTCTCTTCACGAAAATATATTATTAATAAATCTGTTTGTAATTACAAGTATACAGAACCCGATTCACAGCAACCTCAAGACACCCCTTGATTTGCTACTCTAACCTTTCCATGTTCTTGAATCTATACGTGATTCAAGAACCTCTCATCCAAATCCCTTAGCACTCTACCTCACAAATTCTTACAAGAAATTTGCTCACCATTTTGCTAAGAATTCTCTCAGTTGTGTTAAAAACCCTACAAGACTTTAACACACCTATTTATATTCAATAGGACTTTGTGGCTAACCCTAGCCGAGACTCTCCTTGTTGATTTATTCAAATCTTCAAGAAAATCTTCTATTTCCTTATCTTCTCATAAGATGAAGGAAACTCGACATATTCTCCGAAATTCCCTCAAGATACTCTAAGCTTCTCGTCCAAGTCAGCTTCTCGTCTCTTGAAGTGTCCAGCACGTTCTACAGTTCCAGCTCAGCTACAAGCTCACCTTCACGTGAGTAGATTGCTCCGCAAGTCTTCTCCATGTCACCCCTTGAGTTAACTCGACTGCTACACGTGCTGCTACAGCTTTGTTTACAGCTCTAATCTCCCGCTTTTTAGCATATGTGCCTCGTAAGTACCTGTTCATAAGATCGAAGACGCACAAACACAGCCAAACAACTACACAACCACAAACCATTCTGAAATGATTCTGATTACCCAAAAAGTTTCACCACAACGGAGTGCCAAGTCTTAAACATAAATCGCAATCGAGTTCAAGGAGAAAAAAAAAGTCACAAGTATTTAAATTTCTCTCCTTACTCCCCCAGAATCAACATAATTAAAAACCCCAACAAGAAAAAAACTTTCCCATAAGTCATGCATCCATCGATTTCAACTTTCTCCCCATGCTTGTGTGCACAGATGCTAAAAACAATTCGATAAGCACACATATGATCAAGTTCAAACAGGGTTTAATCAGACTTACTTGTGATTGCCTGATGCAGCATGGCCGTAATCACTCCCAGACTTTACAGGATTGAGGAGACATCTTCAAGTGCCGGAGCCTTTGGCACTCGATCTACCCCCAGATTCACTTCGAGGACTTTGCTAGTAGAAGATGATGGCTTGAATGCTGCCTTAGGAAAATGATGTGGTTCTGGAGCTTGAGGCGTTGAGGCTGATGGAGGCTTCTCCCAAGATTCTTTCTTCCGTTTCCCTTTGGCCTTTTTCTCTGTTGCTGCAGCCGCCTCCTTCTTGAGAAAGGTTTCACCACTTCGAGGGTCCTTCTTGTACTTAGTCGGAAAGATCCATATCTCTCCTTCTACGAGCTGTAGGATGAGCTGGCGTTGATGACTTTGCTGATTAGGCATGGAAACATCAGTCATCGTCGGTCTCCTTTGATCATCTTGCTCAGATCGAGCATTTTCCGGAAGATCATCAATCCAACATCCACTTTGACCCCATGAGCCAATTTGTAGACCAGCCTATCCCGATCCTCCGAGATATGATGCTTTTTTGTGGATGGCACCCAGTTGTAAAAAGCTATCACCATCAAGGCACCTATCTTGGGAGGAAAGTCTCTCGATGTTAGCTAAGCCCAGACTGCCTGATGCCCTTGTGACAGGTACCACAGTACCTCAGAGATTAGAACAAGATCAGCCTCCCCCTCTTCCTTTCTCTCTGACTCAGTTAGTGGCTCATGACGCAGGGTCTCATTGATTATGCCCGGTGAGATCCTAACATCCATTCCCCTGATCTTGACTACAAATACCTGAGTTGGATCACTTGGTGTTTCTGAAAGCAGTCCTGCGTATAACTCCCGCACCACCTTGCTCATGTAGGGTTCAAGATCCGTCACAGACCAGCGCATTCTGCTCTCCATTAGTACTTTATGGTACTCCCACTCATCCACATCGTCTACATCAACTATTCTTTCACACCAGATATAAAGATTGCAAACAAGTTGTACCTCTGTTCAGCTGAATATTCTTTCTTGGCCTGAGAATTGGTCTTCTTCTTTTTCTTACTTTTGCCTGGTGACTGAACCTTTTGCTGAGTAACTTTAGTACAGGATCCGGCTTGCTTCTTCGAGGACTGTGATGATTCAGCAGGAGCTTTTGGAGGTTCTGAGGCTGAGGCTGGCGATTCTTTTCGAGATCAGTTTGCCGGAGGAGGCACCACTATCGTTAGACTTCGCTTTCTTGTCTGTTTCTTGAATTACTCCTGGACTGAGATTTCTGCAGTGGATAATCAGTAGCCCCTTTCAGTTTCTCGAGCTTTCTTGTTGCTCAACTCTAACGTCTGCAGCGCTTTCGCGAATTTCCTCCAGTTCTGATTCCTTTGGATCGACCTGATCAGCACTCGTCGGCTCTGTTGGGTCTTCTGGATCTTGGGCCTTCTCTTGAATTTCAGTTTCTGATTCGTCGCCTGGTTTGACCGAGGATCCGCCATCTTTCTCGGCTATCGCAAACGACTCACAATCGCTTCCGGCGTCTCTGCGAGTTCCTTCTTCGTTTCCAACAGGTGGAACCATTGGACTTCCTTCATCAGCACTTGCCTCATCAACGATGTGAGGTCGTGAAGCATCTCTTGCTATATGTCTCATCTTAGACTTCGATATTTTTCCAATCACTCCTCTGTGTGTTCTAGTCACCATTTTATTGGCCGATCTAGATTGAGATGACTTGAATTAAATCGGAATGATTCTCTGCACCTAGGGTTTCACCTTGTTTCAATTCTGTGACCCTTCCTTTTCATTTGCCGCAAATATAGCAACTTCGATTTTCCCCTCCCTTTTGATTTTCCTTTTCTTTTCCTTCATGGGCTGCTGTTGAGCTTCTCTAGAATCAGCGTCATATGTTCATGGGCCATTCCCTATTCACTGTGACACCTCTTAACTCAAAGTTACGAAAATCAGTAGTACAATACTTAGAACATGATAATCATTGACACATTTAATCCGAAAAGAGCTTAGTGGCTCATCCACAAATAGCAATCCTTCACACATCACTAGTCAACTGGCTGTTGAAAACAATTGATTTACCAAGTTTTTACCTTATTTTTTTTTAGTTACCACACAAACTGACTCAGCACATGACTCACAATGTATACTCAGCTTTTCCTGATTATTAGTGTCTGGTCGAACTGAGTGCAGAGTCTAGCTGTCAAACTGTAATGTCTTTATCATGTCTTTAGCCAGTTTTCAACCGTTATTCACCAAGAGAAATTCACTGACACCTTGACATGTCTTTAACAGATTTGAATTTCTGCCTCAAAGATGCTGATTTGTGTGTAAGTAAATCTCATCACTTGATTTATCAAAGACTGATTTACACTCAGCCTGATCCAGTGTGTCTGGCTCTCTCAGTGAAATCTGTTCTGGCGCCCAGACATGACGACAAGGCAGGCAGCTCTTTTCCTCTGCACCATGATTCTCCAGGCTAAATCTGAACCTCATATACACCCTGAGTTAGTACCTGTGTCAGTTCTGCACATCTCACACACTTGTTAAATTCCACAAACACCAATCAAGTTTCTTAAGGTGACAAATCGATTAAAGTCTAAAGGTTTTGTGAATAAATCAGCCAGTTACAAATCAGTGACAATGTGATAAATTATTACCTGTTTCTCTTCCACTAACTCACAGATAAAGTGGTGCCTTATGTCAATGTGCTTGATTCTTGAGTGTTTCACAAGATTCTTTGAAATGCTTATCGTACTCTTGTTGTCACAGTAAACTAGAAGTGGCCTTGAGTCCATCCCATAGTCTG